CCCCATCCCCAAAAGCTTCTCAGCGGATTTGGGCTGTACCCAGCAAGAGCAGTACAGGCCCCAACTCAGATTTAAAAAAAAATCAGTGGATGGTTGTTTTCTGGTCGGCCCTACTGGTTGGCTGCAATACGGTCGGCGGTCGGGGTCGGCGGTCGGCAGGGATGCAACCCTGCATATATGTACACTCGTACAGAACCAACCGCTATGTGTTAGTTCGCTGGAGCAGTTGGAGAAAAGGAGGACGGGCTGTGACAGGCTGTTTCGTCGAAGTTTCGCCTCGACTCATCAGGAGAGGAGGAACCCTATACGATCTGCGCAATACACATTTATGTACACCGAACAAGCGCGAAAGTCTGTGGGAGTAACACAAACCCATTGTGTGTGGGGGGCGGGGGGGGGGGGGGGGGAGACTGTCTGCCACAGGGACTTCAACACTGCACCTATGGCGGTTCATTGCGGATAAACCACCACTGCAGGCAGGAAAGTAACCGCACCCAAAATCTCAGAGATTGTCCGTTGTTGTTGTTGTTGTTGTTGTTGTTGTGGTTGTTGTTGTTGTTTCCCTCCTTTCTCCAAAAGGGCACCGGCCATCAGAATATCGTAGTAACGGTCCCAGATTTTCCCGGGTTGTTTGTGGAGGGATTCCGGCCTCCCTCTTTTGATTGCAATATAATGAGCAAAGCCTTTTTGCAAGTTTTTTGTGAAAACAATTTTTTTTTTTTAAATAAAAAAAATCGTAGAAGAGTAGAAGTGTTAAGCTTCCCTCTTTCGATTGCAATATAATGAGCAGTCTTTTTTTTTAAGTCTTTTACGAAAACAATTGTAAAAAATAAAATAAAAGAAATCGTAGTAGAGTAGAAGTTTTAAGTTGCAGAATTGATCAGCCCCAGATAATTCAGAAATACTTGATTTCATTTCTCTGGTTCCATCTGGATTATCGAGCTCAGGAAATTCCCAAAAAAAAAAAAAAAAAAAAAAAAAAAAATCATTTTTCAACAGTTCACGGGTGTACCCACTGAGCAACAACTGTGCCATCGTCATCTGCACAGGTCTAATTGTTTTGGGTGTGGGATGTTGGAGGGGGGGTGTGGCTGAGCGCCCAGGGGCGCAATCCCACTAGCAAAGAGGATTCGATTTAACGCCCGAATCCGGCCGTGTTTGTAGAAAGGTGCAGAAAATCGCAATTGATTTGCTTTGTGCATCAATGCTTAAAACCCATCCAGATTCAGGCTCTCAAGACAATGCTGTTTGCGAGTGCGAGTGTGGAACAGTTTGCACCTGTTCTATCGTAATCGCTTCTCTCTGCCCCAAGCAGTCGACTCAGGGCATACTCGCACTAGGGACTACTGCTACTACACTCTGGACGTGATTGCTGTCAGATTCATGCAAGTCTAGTCGTAATTACGGTCAGATACATTTTGGGAAAGTGCCATTGTGAGAGTGAACTCGCACTAGGCCCTTAAGATCGCAGAATCGCAAAGTCAGCCGCCAGATCGAGTCCTCCTTTTAGAAGGACTTTATCTGGCCGCTGATTGTGTGATTATGAGATTATAAGGGCCTAATGTGAGAGTACACCCTGAGAATGCCCTCAGTAGAGGTGTAGGGACAAAGATAGGGAAAAAAAAAAAAAAAAGGGTACAGCTGTGGAACCCATCACAGCAATGCCTTCCTGGCCATACAATTTGACGGCAAACCAATACGACTGCAGAAACTATCGCATCATTTATGATTATTATTATTATTATTATTTTTTTAACGGCAACAATGCCATGTTCCCAATTACTATCTCATTCATTTTTCAAAAGGAGGGGCCGGGGGGGGGGGAGGAAGACGGTTCCTTATCTCATCATTTTTCAAAAGCATCCTCCTTTTATTATCCCCTCATCATTTTTCAAAACGACCCTTCTTTTTTTTTTCCCTTCTTTTTTTCCTCGCCATTTTTCAAAAGGAACCTTAGTTCTTTTTGTTTCCCCTTCTTCTTCTTCTTCTTCTTCTTCTTCTTTTCCTCCTTTTTTTTTTTCTTTTTTTTTTGACAGGAGTTTAGTAAAAAATGGGTGACCGTCTCTCCCGATAAGGTGGAGGGATTCCAGTAGCCACCTGCCTCTCATCCGGTTGGAAGAAGAAATCGTCATCTGAGCAACGATGAATATCGCGTCGAGTGATTTGTGTGATTCACTTTAAAGATGTTTGTACGGACAGCGCCTTTGTCCCCCCCCCCCCCCCCCCCGAATAGAACGCACCCTCATCAAGAATTTATACACGGCATCTTTCCTGGTCCGATACAGTCATGATGAGGGTGCTTTTATCTTCCAGGGAAGGCGCTGGAAACATGGTTGCAGGGGCGGCAGGGATGGTAGAATGGCATTTGAAATATTAATACAGGACCCTTTTTGTGAGAGCGATTCGTTTTTTTTTCCAGTTTCAATTTTTTTTTATTTGACAATTTAAGATTATTTAACAAAAAAATTGAAAATGTTTTTCAAAAGGACCAAAGGTTGTGCAGAATTATCCTTTGGGACATCATCCGTCAAAATTGGAACGATACAGCGGAAGCAGTTTAGTATGGCCGCTGGGATATGAGGTCGCGCACTAGCAAAGAGGATTTGGTTGGAACTTGCAACGCCTGAATCTGGATGTGTTTGTGGACAGGTGCGCTAAAATCCGGATTGATCTGCTTTTCTGCATTCTCTGCATGAAAGAATCCACATTCAGGCACTTAATCCAATCCCCAATTTGCTAAGCCCCCTGGGCAAGCACGACACACATAAGTCGAGAAACGGTCCAAAAATCTCCAAATTGAAAGCAAAAAATATATATAAAAAAAAAAAAAGTTCGGACTGATGAGCTCGGTCACATTTCTTTTCTTTACCGAATGCTAACATTTTGTTATTTTACGAATTTTCCTTTTTAAACTTTTTTTCTTTTCTTTTTTTTTTTCCGCCCTTCCCCCCTGGGATGCGCTCGGCAGCCCGCACACTAAAACCCCGTACATACGAGGTGGGTCCACACGCCCATACTAAAATCATATGCCCGAAGAATGCATGGTGCACCGCGGAGGTGATTCCGCCTTCTTGTCTTTTTTTTTTTTTTTTTTTTCCTCTGTCTCTCTCTTGGTTTTTTAAACTTTTTTTTTCCCCCATTCATTTACGGGTTTACTATGTAACGACTTCCTCAAAACCTTCTTGTCTTTTGTGCAGCAGGCACTATTGATTGCCACGTGCTTTTCAAATTCACAATCTGACACTTTTAGACTTTTTAATAAGTTTTTAAGTTATATCCGCCGTGGTCCCCACTTGCTCGAACCGACGAATTCTTTCTTGCGCGAGGATTACCGGGTATGTCGGGACGGCAGGGCACCGCCCGCACAGAATTAATATTCTTGCGTTCCCAGTTCCATTCTGAAAACATACTTACACAAGGACTTTTAAAAGTCTTCTTAACTTGTTTCTGGATCGGATTGCGGTCAGATACATTCAAGTAGGGGCATACGTACAGTCAGGTACATTTTAGATGGTGCTAGCGAGTGTATGCTCTCACTATTTCTCACCTTCAAGTACTCTATATGACTCTCCGTCTTCTTGGAGTCGAATCCACGCGCCGGCTGGGAGTCGAGTACATGCAACTGCAAAAAATGGAATCAATGGGAAAGAGGAATTTCAAAAAGACCCCTCCCCCCCCCACACACACACACACCAAAAAAAAAAAAAACAAAGAAAACAACAAAAACTTTTTTAAATGTGTGTTTGTCACTTTTAGTTTTTAGATTTAAAAAAAAAAAAAAAAAAAAACCCTTAACAAAGGAACAAGCCAAGAGTTAAAGAGTTGAGCTTTTGAATTTTGAGGGGGGGAGGGGGGGGAGGGGGGAATAGTTTTTTTTTTTTTTTTTTTTTACAAGAAAGAATCCTTCTCTTTGAAAAAAAAAACGGGAAATGGGCCCGGCGTCCCTTACAAAAGATAACAGCAGGCCTAGTCCTGTCCGCAGAGAGTTGGGCTTGGCAACCAAAGGAAGGTGGAAATGCACAAATTTCAAATTTGAAAAAAATGACAATCAGATA